ACAACCCGCCGTGCTGCAGCCTGCGCGGCGGCGGGCTTTCGGCGTTTTAATAGATAGACGGGCAACGGGAGTTACGCCGAGATCACTCAGCTGCTTCAAAAGGAACCACGTTGTGAATCGCTTTAAGGTGAACGCTTTTTACCAGCGGAAGACAAGGAAAGCACATCCCTTTAACATCTAAATGCATTCAGAAAATAATTTTGGGCCGTTTCCCATCTCCCGGTTGAAGTGGATTACCTTTAGAAGGCCAAGTCCTTTTGTGCAGGCGACAGAGCGGCCTTGGTGTGGTTACACGGATCACTTTGCCAGGAAGGGGCACAGAATCCTGGAGTGAGGAAGTCACAAACAAGCGGTGGCACTGCCGCACGCTCCCTGTTCTAGCCCATGGTTTTGAAGGTGACAAAACCATCGAGCAAGGCTGCAAAAGGAGAACCCTTTTCTCCCAGTAGCTGCTTGTGATACATGAGGGTTAATGGGAGAGAGATGGGCACTTAGGATCCTGTAGAAAACTAGATGCTGGCAGAGAATTACTAGCAAAGGCTGATTTCAGTGTACTTGGCCATGAATTGCAATCCTGGCTTGGGGTTGCGTATGGAAGCAGACAAGCTGAGAGAGTCGGGGTTGTTCAGCCTGGAGAAGAGAAGGCTGTGGGGAGACCTGATTGCGGCCTTTCAGTACCTAAAGGGGGCCTATAGGAAAGATGGGGAAAATCTTTTTAGTAGGGCCAGCTGTGACAGGACAAGGGGTAATGGTTTTAAACTAAACCAGGGTAGGTTTAGACTGGATATAAGAAATTCTTTACAATGAGGGTGGTGAAACACTGGAACAGGTTGCCCAGAGAGGTGGTGGAGGCCCCATCCCTGGAAACATTCAAGGCCAGGTTGGATGGGGCTCTGAGCAACCTGATCTAGTTAGTGGTGTCCCTGCTCACTGCAGGGGGGTTGGACTAGATGACCTCTAGGGGTCCCTTCCAACCCAAAACATTCTATGATTCTAAGCTGCCCCAGACTGACAGCCACAGGATCACAGAGGGCCAGGTCCTGCGACCCCTGCTGTGGTGCCACAACCACTTCTTGAAATTAGCTGGGTTATACTTACTACAAGCTGGAGTTGTGTTAGTTCCAGTATAGAAACACTCTTGCAATGCTGCAGGTGGCAGGATTTACGCTGGATTAGAGCTCCATGCCTTTTCTTCTTAAGGGGGGGGAGAAAAAAAGAAAACCAGTAAGAACAGAACCCCAGAAAAATTCATTTTGAGGAAGATACTTTATAGAAGAAAACTTTAAGAGATTGGACTGCTTAGTTGGTCAAAATCTTAAGGCTCACATCACGCTGCTGCAAGTGCCCAGGCAGCAAGGCCTTTCTTACGGCAGAGAAACGAACGTAGAGGGCTGGTGCCTGGAAACCAAAGCCAGACCCACCGAGACCCTGCCACCCATGTTACTATCACAGTGGTTCTGCAGCTCAGTATTTATCTTCTAGTCAAGACTGACGGAAAACTTTGGCTTTTACATTTCACAAGTCAGGGCACAACTGTCTGTAAAAGCCACAGCCATAGGTAGCACACCATTGTAACACGCATACTATTACTTATTTTAGGCGTAACACAGCTCTGAAAAAATGGACTGGTTTGTGGCAAAGCCTCTTCCATTGGGCTTTCCAGCCAACAAATACCGCTGATACACAGGGAGATGCTAAATTCTTAAGGTCATCTCTGATCACACAGCAAGGAAGGAGCTTTTCCTCAGCTGTCCCACAAAAAGCTGGAACTACCAACTTTTCCAAAAGGAATTTGGCAATTTTAAAAAACCACCCACAGCAAATTTACACTTTCCCCGTCATCTCTGCAAATTGATGGAATAAATCAGACAAGAGAACAGCCAAAACCTGAACTGCTATCCATATACCAGGTGTTTTGGATTCACCAGTGAGAGGCAAAGCGTGGCACCGCTACCCTGTCTCCTGCTGGCAGCATCTCCAAAGGACAGCGCGGCTTCTCAACACCACTAGATCAGACTCGTTGCAAAGCAGACGGAATAGAATAGCCCGAGTGAACACAACAGGTTTCAGCTTCTCACACTCCTGCTTTCAAGTCAGTCACATTTTAGAAAGGAACAGACTTTTTTTGTGGTAGAACTGTATTTATTTTTCATATACAAATCAAGAGAACACAAAAAAAAGTTATTCTATCAAAGTGAAAAGAACCCAACCCAGCACAAATTAATATTTCAAAAATACTACGAAGAAAGATGAAACAGCTATAGTGGAGAGAATAAAAAGCTTTTCAATTCCATTTTCTCCAGAATTACACTCTGAATGCTACCTCGTGCACACAAGAATGAAGCCCTCAGTGGAAAAAAAGTCCAGTGCAAAATAGTTTTAAACCCACATATTATCAGAATGCAATGGAAGTAAATTCACATTTGAAGAGAGCCATCACGTTTTATTCTTCTCTTCAGTAACGAGATTATTGCACAAAAACAGTCAAGTGTTTTTTCCCCACAAGCATTAATACTTACAACCTTAGTGATTCTGAAAGTGATGTTGTGAGGCTCCAACATTTGTAACTGCTCAAGCACTCCACATAAAAGACTGGCTTATACAAACAAAATGTGTTTATCTGATCAGCTGAATTCTTTCCTTCTCGTGCATCAACCCCAACAATAATGACTCTGCTGCACTGATTAGGCCTTGTGATTTCGTGATGACCAATTTTGACTTCTGATGATGATGCATGAGAAGAAATCAAATTCCAGGTAATACCCAAGGTGGGCTGACTTGGCAGGACCAACAGGACGAACAAGGAAACCCGTTTCTCACTCAAGCAGGCTCTCTATGCTCTGGTTATATTCTCAAAGTGCAAAAATAGGCTTTCTATTAAGAACTGTGCTGTATTCCTCACAGAACCAGATCTCAGAGCAGACCTGCACTTCAATTAAATTCACAGTCGCATAATAAAAAAGTCCCATGATCTTTCAGCTCATTTGTGGTCTTACTGCCCAGGCAGAGCTCCAGTAGTAGGCTAACTCAAAGTAATTTACTTAACCCAGAAGTCATATCGCTCCATTGAAGCAAGGTAAGGTAGAGTTCAGTTTTAAACAGTGGTCTGAGACTATGACAAAAAAATTAAAACAGAATTAATTTTTTAAAAACCCCATGACCACACATTAATTCTATTGGACAGACTTAAGTTTAGACCCAGAAAGAAAATGTCTGACAGCTGTGTTGCAGACAGCCTTGAGAGCACTAGTTAGTACTATTTTTTCAAAATGAGACGAGCAACAGAATAGGCCTTTATTAGCACCAAAGGAAACACAGTATTTCTCAATTTATACCTAACCCTCACCTACAGAACACTTAGTTGTCAACTCCACCACTGATTCTAACACCTGAAACATCCAGGTACTAAGAACAGTATCAACACTGCAGTCAGATATGCTCTGGGTGGCCGTACCGCTTCTTCCAAAACACAATGGGACTCTACCAGATCAGTGTGACTACAAAGGTAGCTCCATTGAAACATGTTTCAGTTATTTTTTTTATGCTTTTAATCAATATTATTCAATATAAGTATAAAAGCTGGACCAAGTTAAATAGAAAATATGGTTCCATGTGTGCTACTCATAGGATCAGAAATGTTTGGGGTTTTTTATGGTTCATTTTTCACAGCATCAAAGTTGTCCTGAATGGTAGGGCAGAAGGCTAGGACAGCTGGCCACAGTCAGTAATGACAATCTTTTTGGAGGTCTTGCCACTCTTGGAACCAAAGCTCTCAATTTTTTTCACGACGTCCATTCCTTCCTTTACATGCCCAAAAACAACATGCTTTCCATCTAGCCTGTAAAACAAATAAACAAAGGCAGTTTTACTTAAAACGACATGAAGACTGAACCAACCTGAGCTCAGTAAAGCGATGTTAGCAGATCTTCACAGCTCTCACCTGCTGATCAACTCTATAGCAAGGCACAACTGCTCTACAAGTGACATGCAATACATCTAGCTCTGGACCTTAGAAGCATTATGAGGGGTAGCGGCCTTGTTGCCCTTCCTCCCTCTCAAGTAGCACAAACCAATTTATTTTCCACGGTAAGTCAAACTAGAAACACACCCCACCCCCACCCCACCAAAAAACTATCAACCCACAAACAAAAAACAGCCCTAAGAAAACGCCAAACCCTCCAGATCCATGCATCAATTCATCAGGTTAAGATGCAGGGCTGAGAACCTACCAGTCCGTTTTTGCAGTGCAAATGAAGAACTGAGATCCATTGGTATTGGGTCCTGCATTGGCCATTGAAAGAACACCTAGAACGGCAACAGTAGCAGCTTATTAGATTGGCGTAGCAAGTATGCAGTGGAGAAGACAATTTTCCTCTGCACATTTAGACTAGAGACGGACAGAGAGAAGATGTGATGATCTCACACTGTCTCCAAATGATTTCTAATGCCAACTTCTGTCTCTGACTATTCCCTCAAGCCCAGCCTCCCTTCTTTCCACAGCAAGAACATTAGTAATACAATTAGTGGCACACATCCTGAACGCAATTAACATCAGGTAACCTCTACTGTGTTTCAATAGCAGCAGTAGTTCCCCGTGATGAGGAAATAACAATCCGAAAAAGAGACTACAGAATTCAATCAGATGTTCTTATGTATAGCTTTTCCTTTATTTTTTTTCCTCCATTTCATTTGAACTTAAAAGGACGTGCCTCTGTTACCTAGTAAGTAAGAAATCACAGATTGCTTTGTTTCAATTCTGCAGTAGTCATCTAAGTAAAAATTAAAGTCTGTGACTTACAAAGAGTAAAATAAAAGCAGTAATTTCACCTTTGTAGAATTTTTAAGAAAAACATAAAAACCCCATACTATATTTTGCACTGTCCCTTTATAATAAGAGCAAGAGTGGCAATGCCACCCATTACAGGCTGACTGATACTTGCACGGTAATCTACGCAAATAAACACATGCCAGGGAAAACGTGTTGTTAAACTTCCTTGGTATTTCTGTAGCTACTAAGTGCCCCACACATCTAAAAAATCTTGGTTTTTTAAAATACCTCTTCATAAACAATGCTTCATTATAGGTTATAGTCATCTGAAGATAGAAAGAATATGTTTATTTACCAGGTCCTACATGCTTAAGTATGAAATTTTCATCTGGAAATCTACTGCCATAAATGGATTTTCCACCGGTTCCGTTATGATTTGTGAAGTCACCACCCTGAAACAGAAACAGCTATTAGCTTTACTAGCACACAAGCATTATTTTACATCAGAAGTGATGTTACTGACAATATAGTCACTTGCTTTAATTTAAAAGTAATAAAATCAGCACATTTTCTTCATGTTAAGAATCAGCATGGTCACATGAAGATTTAAAACCATGTAACTAGATGAAGATACAATCAAACTGAAAGCAAATTTCTACTCCAGATATTGCTGATATTCTCCAACTGACATCCACAACTCCAACAATCATCTTTCTCCCAAATGTGATGCAACAAGTAGCAGTAATTTTAAGAAACACCTCAAAGGCCTCAAAACAAAATCACCCAAATTCATTACCATAGGCAAGACCTGAGAACTTTTTTTCCCCTCTTACCTAGTTCAGGTATAAATACTGGTCTGGATCTCCATTATTACCATTTGCTATTCCTAGGTTTTGTTGTTTAAGTGTTACACCTGAGCTATTTTAAACTTCCCTCAGCTACATGCTGTTTGCTGGGATAGATGTGACCACCTGTCTTAGGTTAGACACATAAAACCCAACAAACAAACAAACCCCAGCCACAGCGATTCCCAAAGGTGGCTGCTAAACACTGCTTCCAGCAATCTGCCATCCCCTCTCCCAGAATCGACACCACCCATGCCAGCAAAGAACTCGTACCTATCAAGTATTTCATGTCATGTTTGCATTTCCATTCTCACCTTGAGCAATCTCTTACAGCTACTCCTACACAACCCCAGAAGTATGCTCTGCATGCCACGTGGAGGCATCTGAACTGCCAAGTCCTGGGTATACTGACCTCCACCCAATGAAGCTATACCAATTAACACTCCATCTCAACAAGTGTTGAAAGGCCTATACTGTTTTCTGTCACTGTAAAATATTTGAAGCCTATGACAGTATTTCCAGTTTGGTAATGACCACCAAGTAATTCCTAAACATCAGTTCATCATCTCACCATACCACAGAGTAAATCACCCAATATCCTCATTTTGGGTCCATTTGTGGGGACAAAACAGGGAGGCAAGGAGAACAGACTTACACAGAACTTCACACATTAGTGGTAGAACTGAGAGTGGTATTTCTATTTTTCTTACATTTATGTATTTCTGACCCCAGCAAGACTTCTAAACTGTATCCCTTTGTCAGTATCACAAAATCTTAGTTTGCATTTCAAAGGCAAGAAAATAGATCCTTCACACCACACTGGTGCCCTTTCTCAGGAACAAGTCATAAGATTAGGGCCTCTTGTTCCGACAGCTGTATTTTTAGCTTAAAAAAAAAAAGTGAGGAGAGGGAACCATTACAGTCTGATGACTCACCTCTCCTCGCTTTTTTTTAATAAATAAAGCACGCTTACTATAACCTTCATCTCAGATTTTTTTAGAGAGCCATTCTACAGTGCAATGCTGTTGAGATGTAGCTTCTTTTAAGGGAAGAGAGGACCACCAGGAATCATACAATCCAGCGCACTACAGCAGCTGAAATCCTGCTCATCTGCCAAGCACAGTAGAAAAAAGGCTTTCAAAAAGACTTTTTCCATTTGGTGTTTTTGTTGTTGTTCTTGTTGCTGCTTTTTAAGAAAAAATTGCTAATGTGCATGGACTTTAATCCAGAATTTTGAAAGATTCATCTTTTAAATCAAACCAAAATCCATTTCAGGTATGTCATCCCCAAAATCTACCCCAAGTAACCCTTCTGGTTCCTCCCTCCCCCCCTCCATATTAGGGAGATGTTCAGAAAAAAAAAAATATTTTTTGTAAAAAACACATTCTCTATTGTGAACAGATTATTCTACCAGGAATAAAGAATGGACATGTTGTTTTCTTAGCTCACTTAGAACACAAGGCTGATTGTCATTCTACCCACAAATGCTTCTCCCAAGCGAGTGCTATTTTGCCAAATACTCCTCACACTAAAGTACACTGCTACACAAAAGCAGAAGACCTTAAGCCAGTTTTAAGACAGTCTACACATAAATTACATTTATTTGTACAAAAGGTGTGTTAAGCAACAGCCATAGCAAAAAGATCAGAAAAGCAAATCACACTGTCACTTCTTTATTCTGTAGTTAGCAAAGGTTAGAGCAGAGCCACTTAAAATGCTACTACTAGTCTAACTAGTTCTAAAAATATATAAGTAACATAGAGATACATTTAATAGCAAAAGTAAAGAAAAAAAAATTACCTGGCACATAAATGAAGGAATCACTCTGTGAAAAGTTGATCCTTTATACCCAAATCCTTTCTCACCAGTACAAAGAGCTCTAAAGTTTTCTGCGAAAGCAAAGCGTAAAGTATTATGTTGCTATACATGATACATAATATAATCAAACACAACTAGATTAAATATGTCCCAAGTTTATACACTTCACAAATTTCATAGTATCTTTAGGGTATTATTGATTTATTAGTTATCTCCATGCTTTAAAAAAAAAAAACTCTGTTACAAAGCTATGGAAAAAAGGTTTTTTAGCCTCAGAACAGGGTACAAACACAACCCTTTTCCATCTCATCTCCCTTTTATTTTGCTGTTATATCTTAACTCCAACCTCCCTGCCTGCCCAAACCCACCACTCTGGAGTCAAAGATTTCATTTTCTGACTTTTATGCCTTTGTTCTCTATAGTAATTGTGAAGATAACGCTTTTTTGGTGTTTTTTTTAAAGGATATTCATGTACTTTTCTTTCAGTTCCCTGTAGTTTTTCAGAACCACTAAATAAACAGTTGAGGAAGGAAGCACGTGATGAAATACAAAAACTTTGTAACGTGAATCAGTGATCAGCTAGTGACAAGAAAAACAAAACCCTGTATGCTCTTTGAAAACTCTCCGAGACACCATCCCTTTGGTTTACCCTTTCCCACTTACTTCGGGGTTTGATTTTAATGCAAATGAATGTGTTTTTAAACATATTTATTCACCACTGATAACCAAACATGTGGGCTGTATTGTCTTGGCACAAATTACAAAGCAAAACTATCTGGAACACCAACAAATTATAATTCCTCACTAGCAGTGTCCTGACAAACTTCATATTGTATTTCTCTATTTAACAAATAGGGATGGAATATGGAAATAGTTTCCAAAAGGTAACAGAACATTCTTGTTCCTGAAAAATCACAATCTAAACCTTAAATATTAAGTATGAAATTCTGGAGATGCTGCCTTACCTGCTGTCTTTGGAACCACATCAGCTTTCAGCTGTTAAAGAAAAATAAGCAAACAAATCAGTAAGTCAGCTGTTACATATGTACATAGAAAAACTTCTACACAGGAGGCTGGTACAACTGAACCCTCTTCCCAAGGCGATGAGCTATCTGAAATCACAAGCCACCCAAAACTCCAAGAACACCTTAAGACTTTCCAAGCATTTGGCTAGTAATTAAAAAAATCCCCTCAGTGCAACTTTTGGCTAGTTAGTGAAGGGCAACTTGAGCACTGTCTACTGATTTCATTGATCAACACAATAACTTAGCAATAACTAAGAAGAATCTTTACGATGGACCCCAAGGATCAAAGCCAGTTTGGATATAACTGAAGAGATCAGTCTCCCTAGCACAGAGCCATCCGCTGGAATCTGCAGAATAGGCAAGGGAAAAAGAACAGAAATTGTATATAAAAATTGACTCATGATGTTACATACACATTTGTTACCAACAAAAATTGCTGATTTTTATTTGTATGTATCTTTTTACTAATCCTGAAAACGTACTGTATTATAATTGTCTAGGAAAAGTGACATAAAAATGGCCGTATCGGGTCAGACCAAAGTTTTATCTAGTTACACATCCTGACAGCAGCCAGTAGCAGACACCTAGAAACAGCGTGGCTGTGGCAAGAAGTTGACGTTCCCTCCTCTCCTCAGATGCCTAGAATTTGCGGCTGAATCTAACCACAACTTAGCTACAATACATTCAGGTATTCTGTAAACTGGGCGCACTAAAAAATCTTTAGCATAGAAATTAAGTGCTGCCACAAGAAGTACAGTAACATTAATGCTATTTTTTATAATACCAGCCAGCTATTTACTAAATCTCACTGATGAATAAGGAACTTGCACAGCAATATTTTTACCTACGACTCCCTCAAAGGAGCGCAGCCCTCATTCCTTCCTGCACACAACACGTTTACTCAGAGGCACGTGCCCAGCCCCAAGGATACGCGGTACACCACAATTAAAAGTCTCGGCGCTTATTGTGTTTTTCGCAAGAGCCGAGCGTACCGCAGTTTTCCTGTTCAGGCCTTCTTTAAATGGCTGAGCAGTTGGGAGACTGGCGACAAAGCTGGTTGCTGGCCGGCGGCGGAGCCAGCTCCCCCTTCAAACAGAGCTGCGCAAGCCTTTCGCTGCACGCGAAGCAGGAAGCTCAGAGGCAGCTACCTCAGAGAGCCACAGACCGAGAAGCAATGGGGGGAAAGGAAAAAAACCAGGACGAGCCTGGCGGAGCTGCTGCAGGCCGCTGCGGGCGCGCTGCCCCAGGAGCGCGCGCACCCCCGGCAGCCAGGCCGGGTGAAAAGTTGATCCTTTATACCCAAATCCTTTCTCACCAGTACAAAGAGCTCTAAAGTTTTCTGCGAAAGCAAAGCGTAAAGTATTATGTTGCTATACATGATACATAATATAATCAAACACAACTAGATTAAATATGTCCCAAGTTTATACACTTCACAAATTTCATAGTATCTTTAGGGTATTATTGATTTATTAGTTATCTCCATGCTTTAAAAAAAAAAAACTCTGTTACAAAGCTATGGAAAAAAGGTTTTTTAGCCTCAGAACAGGGTACAAACACAACCCTTTTCCATCTCATCTCCCTTTTATTTTGCTGTTATATCTTAACTCCAACCTCCCTGCCTGCCCAAACCCACCACTCTGGAGTCAAAGATTTCATTTTCTGACTTTTATGCCTTTGTTCTCTATAGTAATTGTGAAGATAACGCTTTTTTGGTGTTTTTTTTAAAGGATATTCATGTACTTTTCTTTCAGTTCCCTGTAGTTTTTCAGAACCACTAAATAAACAGTTGAGGAAGGAAGCACGTGATGAAATACAAAAACTTTGTAACGTGAATCAGTGATCAGCTAGTGACAAGAAAAACAAAACCCTGTATGCTCTTTGAAAACTCTCCGAGACACCATCCCTTTGGTTTACCCTTTCCCACTTACTTCGGGGTTTGATTTTAATGCAAATGAATGTGTTTTTAAACATATTTATTCACCACTGATAACCAAACATGTGGGCTGTATTGTCTTGGCACAAATTACAAAGCAAAACTATCTGGAACACCAACAAATTATAATTCCTCACTAGCAGTGTCCTGACAAACTTCATATTGTATTTCTCTATTTAACAAATAGGGATGGAATATGGAAATAGTTTCCAAAAGGTAACAGAACATTCTTGTTCCTGAAAAATCACAATCTAAACCTTAAATATTAAGTATGAAATTCTGGAGATGCTGCCTTACCTGCTGTCTTTGGAACCACATCAGCTTTCAGCTGTTAAAGAAAAATAAGCAAACAAATCAGTAAGTCAGCTGTTACATATGTACATAGAAAAACTTCTACACAGGAGGCTGGTACAACTGAACCCTCTTCCCAAGGCGATGAGCTATCTGAAATCACAAGCCACCCAAAACTCCAAGAACACCTTAAGACTTTCCAAGCATTTGGCTAGTAATTAAAAAAATCCCCTCAGTGCAACTTTTGGCTAGTTAGTGAAGGGCAACTTGAGCACTGTCTACTGATTTCATTGATCAACACAATAACTTAGCAATAACTAAGAAGAATCTTTACGATGGACCCCAAGGATCAAAGCCAGTTTGGATATAACTGAAGAGATCAGTCTCCCTAGCACAGAGCCATCCGCTGGAATCTGCAGAATAGGCAAGGGAAAAAGAACAGAAATTGTATATAAAAATTGACTCATGATGTTACATACACATTTGTTACCAACAAAAATTGCTGATTTTTATTTGTATGTATCTTTTTACTAATCCTGAAAACGTACTGTATTATAATTGTCTAGGAAAAGTGACATAAAAATGGCCGTATCGGGTCAGACCAAAGTTTTATCTAGTTACACATCCTGACAGCAGCCAGTAGCAGACACCTAGAAACAGCGTGGCTGGGGCAAGGAGTTACCGCGTTCCCTCCTCTCCTCAGATGCCTAGAATTTGCGGCTGAATCTAACCACAACTTAGCTACAATACATTCAGGTATTCTGTAAACTGGGCGCACTAAAAAAATCTTTAGCATAGAAATTAAGTGCTGCCACAAGAAGTACAGTAACATTAATGCTATTTTTTATAATACCAGCCAGCTATTTACTAAATCTCACTGATGAATAAGGAACTTGCACAGCAATATTTTTACCTACGACTCCCTCAAACGCTACCTCCTGAGAATGTGAGAGCTGGTAATGTCCAATTAATTTATATGCTACCGCTTCCAATGAAGATAAATGAATTGGGCTTCTAGCCTTAAGAGAAACCCTTTTAGAGAGAACTCTCATGAACTACACTTAAAAAAAAAATGATCTACCAATACAGACCCAACGTGGGCACTGGAGGCAGAAGGCCACAGTGCATCCCCTCCGTAGGCAGCGATTCCTCCCCAGCGCGCGGTTCTGGAGCGCAGCCCTCATTCCTTCCTGCACACAACACGTTTACTCAGAGGCACGTGCCCAGCCCCAAGGATACGCGGTACACCACAATTAAAAGTCTCGGCGCTTATTGTGTTTTTCGCAAGAGCCGAGCGTACCGCAGTTTTCCTGTTCAGGCCTTCTTTAAATGGCTGAGCAGTTGGGAGACTGGCGACAAAGCTGGTTGCTGGCCGGCTGTCGAGCCAGCTACCCCTTCAAACAGAGCTGCGCAAGCCTTTCGCTGCACGCGAAGCAGGAAGCTCAGAGGCAGCTACCTCAGAGAGCCACAGACCGAGAAGCAATGGGGGGGAAGGAAAAAAA